CCACATTTTGATAAGTTAGAATAATAAATCAAATGAAATACAAATTCATTACTGATAATTAAATAATCGTATTATTTTCTGTTGACATTTCACGTAAATTTAAACTAGAATAATTGTGTGACATCGGTTTGGTATACTGCCTAAAGTCTTTCTATGAATAAGTTCATATCAGAAAAAAACCTTTTCTTCACTTTTATTAGGCCTAAGTATTAGTATATAAATTACATAGTTTAACGTAAATTCCCTCTCTCTGTTTTTTATTTGTCTGTGTGTGTGCTGACTTCCATACCTCAATTTGAATCACAACACATATGACCTTCATGCTTGAAATATAGGCTCATGTGACCCTTCGCCAGTATTTTTACGTAAATAAGCAATTAAAGTTTTTTGTTTGCTTTATAGCCAAACCTTGTTGCTGGGAATCGAACCTTTGAATCTAGCATTGTAAACTTAGCACTGTCCCACTGGGGAACAAGTAATTAAAGAGACTGAAGGAGCTTGTTAATATAGGATAATAGATGAAATAATTTACCAGTTATACTGAAGTTTGAGATCTTATACATGATGTATTATTTTTATAATTAATCTTTATCATCATTGTATTTGTTTACTTTAACAATAATTTTTTTGTGAGAAAAATATATTCTAATTTGGTGTCGAAATCAACATCGTTTTTGATTCTGTAATATCAAGCACTCTGAATGATTTGTGATCAATTTAAAGCTTCGGGTTATCCAATCTTTCAAGTATCGGTTTATGTAAATTCTAATAATAACTAGAAGATCAAAACGATAATGAAAATAAATATTTTATTTCGGATATATTTTTCGTCTTCTCGTTCAAATTACTACAGATTCAAATTACTACAGATGAATCCATTGGCGGAATCTTAATAACAGCTTCGATTAAACATAAGATAGAGGATGTACGTATATATATATTCATTTTTAGGAAAGAGAGTTAACCTGAAAAGAACTGTCGTATAATTAGAGTATAAAGAAGGGTAGTCAAACATCAGAAGGACGATTTGCGTACGTCAATACAGCGACGTGTTGACACAGATATTAACCGTGGTGCAATGGGTGACATTCTTAGCTCCTGCACATTTAATTCACGAAGGATTCCCTATCTCTTGCCAGAGCAATGCCGTCAGGATACATTTTGTTTTGGTTGGAGAGTGATATAAGAATCCTTTACAAAGAAAGATACTATTAAATAATAAGGAAATCATCAATGAATCTCTTTAGGAGTAGAAACCTCGAACAGGAGCGTCCTTAGGGTTGGAAATGGCTATACAATCACACCCTGATTGAAGCCGAAGCGTCGCCTTCAACCACAAAATGAACCTACCCACACAAAATAAACTTTGCTATGAAGCTAAACATATAAAACAAGATAAAAGACAAGGATTTCAAGTTGACGAAGTGTGACTAGAAATCAACGACTGTTTTCATGACAGAAAAGTTATATTCATTCCAATATTTTTTAGTCTTGCCATCAAAGTGTGTTAGCTACTCGACATGGTGTTTGCCAACCCGGGGATTTCTGTTATACGGGCTTATATGATGGGTGTCAGTGCTCTTTGCAACTTATTCAGCCTGCTCTCGTACAAAACACAGTAGCTGACTGTGCTTCTACACAACGCATTCTCGAATTGGTAAAACAGCCCAACAGTTTGTAGAAGTTGTAAAGGAAGTAGATGTCGAAAAAGATTTGTGCAGTTGATACTTTTTCGACCTTCCCAGTTGACTAAAGAATGTGTGTAGTCGCTAACACGGGGTGTAAACCAGCTGAAGCAGACAGAGCAGAAAATATATCTGATGATGGAGTGTATGTTACGTCAGTCACTAGTGTTCTTTTTTTCGTGAAGGATTCACTTCCACTGTTTCAAGTAAGATGCTCTCTCTTTTAATTCAGCATAACAGTCAGAGTGGCCTATGTATACTAGCCTTGTAAGGTTTGTGGCAGCAGGGACAAGGTGGCCTATGTATAATAGCCTTGTAAGGTTTGTGACAGCAGGGACAAGGTGGCCTATGTATAATAGCCTTGTAAGGTTTGTGGCAGCAG